CTTAAAATATATATATATATATATATATATATATATATATATATATATATATATATATATATATATATATATATATATTATATATATATATATATAAGAATATAATATAAGAATACTTCCATTTTTTAGATATAATTAAATTTTAATCAAAATAAATGTTCTTTTTTTGCTGGGTGTTATAGTTATAGCAGGATTATTTTTCTACTTTCTATAAATGTTTAATTCTATTTATTCAGCTTGTTTCATTATGGGCAATCTTCTAAAGTTTTCATTTTAAAATCGTTTCTCTTCTTTGTTTGATATACTGTTGCCGTTTTTCTAAACGCCTTAGTTAGCTTATTACGTATTTCGAGAAAAACGTAATTAAAAAAATTATTTGTGAAACTCTTCGTAAAACGCTTTTTGAAACTAATAATTTTTATGAATTTTTTTTAGAACTCTTTAAAAATATGTATTCAAAAACGTTTGTAGATATCTAAACTAGCTTATTTGATAAAAAAAAGTCAAATTGATTTTTTTTTACATAAGACGCTTTGAAAAACGGCTGCAGTAAAGTAGAGAGAAAACAAGAACTAAAGACAATTGTTTGCTGTTTTAATAAATGTATTATTAAATTTCATTGAAACTTTGATCTAGATTAATTGCATATATCGCTTATTTAATACAGTTTTAAAAGGTTCAAACAATCAGTTCTCAAGAAATATATTTGACTATATAACTATTTAAATACTTTAATATTTTACAAATGTCGTATTGTTCATCATATTTATATTATAATTTTTATCATTAGATAAATTTAACAGTTTGAAAACTTATTTAAACCAATAGTTTTTAAATGAAAATTAAATGAAAGTTTTCGAAATCTTAATAACTTTCGAAATCTTAATAACTTTTAATTGAAAAACTTGATTGGCTTGCCGATTTTCGTCAAATATCAGTAAAAACATAAATAAAGAGTTTTTTAATAATAAAAATAAATTAATAAATCAATTTATTAAACTTTAAAAAATCTTAACTCAAGATTAACTGACGTCAATAAAAATTAAAAAAGTTCGAGTTGAACTTGAGTCAAGTTCAACTCGAACTTTACTTTGTAACCAATAGCCGCAGAGTATTTTTTAAGGGGAAAACCCATACTCTGTCACTATTTGTTGCAATGTAAAGTTCAAGTCGAGCTTGACTCAAGTTCGCTTCTTGCATTTCACCCTATAAACTTTTTTGAACGAACAATCATGTTAATGTATGGACGACACGTTTTTACACATTAAAAAAATCAATCAATTTAATTCAATTTTTTGCATGCTTCTAATTGCGTTTTTTACTTGTCTAGCGCGACACTTAAAATCTAAGACTGATTTAATTTTTTTTTTTTTTACTATGATCTTATCAACCTTTGGGAATTTGAAACTAATTGGGAATACCGCGTTATACGCGGTGCCATCGTGTTGGTTAACTCCCTGGTGAACTAAACAAAGGACAAGACAGTAATTTCTGCAGTTAAAATATATGCTATTATGGAGAAGCATGTCTTAAAAGTTGTTGTAAACCACTTCGCTTACCACCCATTATATTTGTGCCATTGAGTCCACAAAATCAGTGCTTTCATCTGCAAGTAATGTGCAGTCAATGCTTGCTGTTATATCAGTCAGAACTCTAACTCATTACTTATTATATGTATGTATTCTTGTACAATGCATTTCATTTATTGTTTTTAAAATGATTCATTATATCTTGATCACCAATGTTTCGAAGCAAATCTATAGTCAGCAAAATTTTGCTTATCTGCCCAATTTTTTTTAGTGAGAAAATATGCAACTTTAAAGAATTTAATGATAAGTCTTTTCTTTCTAGCTTCTACTTCTGCATTATGTTTTATACCCCCATCAATAATCGGTTTAAAAACGTTACCTTTAAATAACATGGTAACTTGTTGTTTATTGGAAGTAGTATATTTTTACTTGTCGCTAAAAAGAGTGTGTTGAATAATTCTTTAGGGTGAAAACTGTGTTTAACACATTTTGATTTTCTAAAACTCATCACCAGATACAGAAAAACTTTCACAGGTTTTACATAGCCAACCTTTTCTTGAAACGCTAAAGTATGCCCATTCAAATTTATTTTCCCAATAAGCTATGTGTTCACTGCTGAATCCTTTACTTTGGTTTCCTTTCCATATAAAAGTTTTACTTTTTTTTCTAGAAATAATTTTTGTTTTTAAACGTATTGTTGAATTTTTAGTTATATTAGATAATATTGAAGAATTTTCAGCATTATTTGCTTTTATTAAAGAATTTTCAGCATTATTTGTTTTTATTAAAGAGTTTTCAGTTGTATTTGCTATTATGGAAGAATTTTTAATCTTATTTGCTATTATGGAAGAATTTTCAATCTTATTTGCTATTATGAAAGAATTTTTAATCTTATTTGCTATTATGGAAGAATTTTCAGTTTTATTTGCTATTATGGAAGAATTTTCAGTTTTATTTGCTATTATGGAAGAATTTTCAATCTTATTCGCTATTATGGAATAATTTTCAGTTTTATTTGCTATTATGGAAGAATTTTCAATCTTATTCGCTATTATGGAATAATTTTCAGTTTTATTTGCTATTATGGAAGAATTTTCAATCTTATTTGCTATTATGGAAGAATTTTCAGTCTTTGCTATTTTCAAAGAATTTTCATTTGCTATTATCAAAAAACATTTTTTTTATCAAAGAATTTTTAGTCTTATTTGCTATTATTGAAGAATTTTTGGACTAAGCATTGCATATCTATTAGACAATAAATCAAAAAGTTAAATTGTATAAATTCATTTTGTAGAATTTGGTATTATATTATTATATATAAAGTATTTATTTTCAATAATTTCAATTAAACAACTTTGTGATTTCTTTTTAGTGTTTTATAAATACTTTTATTGTTGTTTATGCAATACTAATATAAAATACATTTAAAATAAAAAAAATGATTTTGATTATCATTAACATCGTATTTTCAAAATATCAACAAGAGAAAAAATAATGTAACAATTATTAAGAAATATTTTTATAAATACTTCATAAATATCAAAAGTTCTTACATCATTTGGTGGATTCAATATCACTCTCTTTTTGATAAAATCAATACCACCACCATCAAACCACGCTCTTTTTGGCAAAGTTTCATTATTTTTTCTGATAAAAAATTTTTATATGTTCGCCTTTGGCTTTGCAGGCATGATCTCTATTTTCAGACAATTAGATAACAAATAGGTTCTAGATTTTTTACTGGGGCTAATTGAAGTAGACTTTGAACAGCTGCAAAGTCTACTTCAATCAGCCACAGTGAAAAATCTGTTTGATAAAAATTTGCAGCGAACAGCTGCAAATTTTATCAAATCATCAATACTTTTCTACAAACTTTAGGCCAGGTGAACAAAAAAAAAAACAATTGCTTTTACTTGGCATTTTGTTAAAGTATTGACATAAAGCTGAGCAGTTAGCTCAGCTTTATGTCAATACTATTGACATATAGCTCAGCTTTATGTCAATACAATTACTTGTATTATTGACTTTATGTCAATAAAGCTGAGTTAACTGCTCAACTTTATGTCAATACTTTAATAAAATGCCAAGTAAAAGCAATTGTTTTTTTGTTTACGTCAATAAAAATTGAGAAAAATCGCTTAAAAGTTTATTCACATAAAACTGAACAGTTTATTCCAAAAATTTAATTAATAATTGCTCAGTTTTACATGAAATCTCGTAAAGCAATAAAAGCAATTGCTTTTTTTATTCACACTTTTTTATTCACTTTTTGAGTGTTTCCAAATATTTTGTATTTTTATATACTTTACGCACTTTTTAACTTTGGTATAGATGATTTCACAATGGCTGGAAAACAACTAATTTAATAATAATTTATTTGTTATATAATGGCAGAAAGATAAATAAATACACACACATATATATATATATATATATATATATATATATATATATATATATATATATATATATATATATATATATATATATATATATATATATATATATATATATATATATATATATATATATATATATATATACTATACATATATGTAAAATATACTAATAAAAAAGCCCTCAACTGCTTGAATTTGGGCAGCGCCCAAATCAGCGCCAAAATTTGGTCGATGCTGTCAAAAAAGATCTTGAATAGCACCTGGTAAACGTAAATAACTTTTAATTTTTATAAATTTTTAGACATGTTTAGGTACTGTAAAAATTGGTTAGTTTTACATAAAAACCATATAATCAGATGAACTTATATAAATAAAATATTTATAAAAAAATATGACTTTAAATATTGCGACTTATTTGGATTTAGGTAGACAGTTAACAAAAAAAAATTTTAGATTTTTTTTGTTAACTTTTTAATAAAATGCCAAGTAAAAGCAATTGTTTTTTTGTAAACAAAAAAAAACAATTGCTTTTATTTGGCATTTTATTAAAAAAAATCTAAAAATTTTTTTTGTTAACTGTCTACCTAAACCCAAATAAGTCGCAATATTTAAAGTCATATTTTTTTATAAATATTTTATTTATATAAGTTCATCTGATACCTTTTGTTTTTAAATTAGAAAAAAAAAAAACATTCATCTTTTTAGCTTGAAAACTTTAACTTAATATTTAAATAAAATTCTACATAAAATGGCGTCTTTAAAATGGTTTGTTAATGTTGAATTTTCAAACTTATTTTGCAAAGAAGATAGCTACTCATAAACTTTCGAATTTTTTATTTTTGAGTGAACTCTTTATTTTTTGAGTTAACTCTTTATTTTTTTATTTTCTTACAAACTATTTACTCCAGCTTGAACAAACCTAAAATTGCTGGTACCTATTTAACAGTAATTTGCTGCCAAAAAAAAAAAAGACTTAAACAACAATTTAAAAACAATTAATTTAAGATTTTATTTTTTTATTTTTCAATTTTTTTTTATTTATATTTCTGTTTTGTTACAAAAAATTACTTACACCAATTTCCTTAGCAATTTTTTCCCACTCGCAATTTTCATATTTCTTTGCCAGCTTTATTATCTTACTATCTTCTTCTTTTGTAAATTTTGATTGGTTAATTGATGGATGAAGCACATTGCACCAATGTAATTGAAGCTCAAATTCGTCGCGAGCTGGAAGCTGTGTATAATATAAACAATTTAACAAGTTTAAATCAAAAGATTTACAATATGTTCAATGTTCTTTACAAAAATAAATTTAAAAAAAGTGTTTATTGAACTTTTATGCTTACTATATCAATATATATGTTTAACAATTACTGATATAGTTATCAGTAATTTTTTAAAACTATATTTTTCAGATAAGTATTATTATATAAATATGCAACAAAATCTATGTATGTATATATATGCATATGTATCAGGTTTTTTTAAAGCATTACGCACAATTTATGTACGTGTTAAGCTATTTTACATATACCTAAAGCAATTTCAGTTAGGCAACTGTTTATCATTTTTTAATTTTTAAGTTAGTCTGTAATAATTTATTTTAATAATAAAAAAAAATTAATAATAAAACTTTTTTTTTTTATTGTAATTGATTTTTTTGCTTGAAAAACACAAATACTTCAAGCTTGAAGCAAACCGCTATTGTTTTGCTTCAAGCTCTGATAAAAAAAAAGATAAAAAATAAATGATTTAATCTAAAAATAATTTAATAAAAATATGTAATTTAATTCTGATAAAATATACACATAATTTAATTGTTTTAAAGAAAATATATTTAAGTTTACAGGGGTAATAAAATTTAAGTGTATGCTTGGCTTTAACTTAACTGTCAACTTTATTAAAAAATAAATACATTGTAAATATATTTAAAATATTTTTTATATAATTGTATATTTAAAATTTATTAATTCTTAAAAAAAAAAATAAGCTCAAAAAAGGTTTTCCTTATTAAATATTTTTTTTTTACCAAAAATTTATTCCCTTGTTAACATGTTTCAAGGCTGCATTAAAAGTTGATACACAATAATATACATTTTTTATTAAATGGTACTTGGAAACCTAATACAATCTTTGTTTACACAACAAAATCGCTGATAATTAATTAACTTTTAATAAATAAAGTAAATTTAAATAATAAATAAAACCAACAGTGAAAAAGAAAAGAGGAAAGAAAAAATAAAGTAAATTATTTTAAAGAATAAAAAAGATTACTTAAAAATAAAGTAAAATAAGAAAAATACTGAAAGGTATAAAAGAACCAAAAAAGATTGAAGAAAAAATAAAACAAGAAAATTAATAAAAGAATAAAATGAACAAACTGATTTGATAAAACAAAAACAAAACAAAAAAATCAATTAAAAGCAAAGTATCAAGTTAAAAGAAAAAAAGTTTGAAAAATGTTCTAAATATTAATAAAAAGAACATAAAAATAAATTGCTACGAGTTTTCTACCCCTTTCTGTTTCCACCAAAAATAACAAAAGATATTGTAGTAGTTTTTGTTTGCGTTTAATTATTTTTGTGTTTGCCTTTTCGTTTGCGTAAAGTTTGTTATTATTTATGTTGTTGCTGCTAATTATTTGTATTGTTGTTCGCTGTTGTTATTGAGTGTTATTATTATTGTTTATTATTATTTAAACTCAATTACAGTTGAACAACTTTGCCTTTATAATTACAATCACTTTATGATTTATATACTTAAATCAGTAAACTATTTTTTATTTTTTTGTTCTTTTTCTTTCATTTCCACTTCTTCTTCCACTGCTTGAGTAGTATATGCCAATGGCATAGCACGATAGATATATTAAGAGACAACTCTTTTTTTAAAAAATTTGGCCTCTATAATATCAAAGCCTTCCTTGTCGATTTGCTGCTTTTTTTAACAATAAGGTTTGAGTCACCGTTGAATTTAAACATGTTAGCCATCGATGGATGACATACTCCCGACAACGCCGACAAGACTACTCTTGTTGCATGAACCTTTCTTCTCTCCACCAAGGTGCACAACTTTAGTTTGTCCAAAAGGGGAGCCAAATGTTTTCATTTGTTTTTTTTTCGAGCGTTTTCATATATTTTTAAATAAATTTAATATAATTTTTTTAATGTTTTATACTGTTTTTATTTTCAATTTTTATTAATTTTTTTTTTTTCTTTTTTTTGAAATAATAAAAAAATAAATAAATAGGTAGAACATACAAGAAGTGCTGCTAGATTGACTGAAATAGATAGAATATGCAAGAAATGTCACTACATTGACTCAGGATTTTGTATGAATTGATGGAAGTATGTAAAGATTTATATAAATATATATATATATATATATATATATATATATATATATATATATATATATATATATATATATATATATATATATATATATGTATATATATATATATATATATATATATAAATTGCATACTTAGTCTCGCATGAAACATCATTAATGTCATACTGAAAAAATCTGAAAGGCTCAGTACAAACATCAACAGGTCTAAAGGTTTTGCAGATTTTAACTAAATTTACTTAAAATTTATGTAATTACTTAAAAAATTACTTTTGCTTATAAAAAAACTTTAAAAACAATTCTTACATAGTTTTTGGAAATTTTGAAAAAATCAATATCTGACGAATCTTTTAACAGTTCAGCACGTGGAATTTCTCTAAATAAAAAGAAAAACTTTTTATTAGCAGTAATATAATAAGTCAAAATTAAAATAATGTGAAATTAAAAAAATAATTAAAAAATAAAACAAAACAACTAATACTTTATTTCTTTTATTTCAGCCATCACTTTTGCACGAATAGATTTATCCAGTTTTGGCCTACCATTTTTAACACATTCTTTATTTTCTTTTTCTATTTTCTTTAATCTAAAAAAAGAGCTTTGTAGCTAGTAATTTAATTTTTCTTTCTTTTTATTTCACTTTAGATCTTTTAAAAGTAAAATAAAATTATTTTTACACTCCAAACATTTATGCTACTTACAAAATATTCCAAAATATTTCATTTTTACTTTAAATACAGTTTCAATTATAAGCCTTTATCAAACATATATACTTCAATGGAAATATATATATAGGATAAAAAAAAGAAGATATTATTCAAGCAGATACATTAAAATAATATATGAAAACCATTTATGTTTTTAAAAGTTCAAATTAGAGGTTTTAAGTTTAACAAAAATTGTATTGAAAAATATCAATGGATGTGTATTAGGGTGACACAAAATTAAAAAAATTAAAAAAGCTGCAGTACAATTTCCAGTTCTACCAAACTTAAGGAGTCTAGAAAAAGTTTTTTATATCCCTTAGTGATCAGGAAGAGCTACATATAAATTTGACAGTTTAACATTCCAAGCATTTTTTAACATTCCAAGCATTTTTATTTTAAAAAATATGTCAAAAACTCTAAGTGTTTTAGTGAAATGTCACTAAAACACTTAGATGTTTCTAAGTGTTTTAGCGACATTTCTTGTTGTCGTCAAGTTAAAATAAGTTGTAAAACATCAAAACAACATCATACTAACTAATTTTTCTTTTTTTTTGGTGATATTTCGGTCTAATTTGTATAGACCATCGTCATACATAAATTACAATTTAAAAAACCGCTAAAATATAAAATTTAAAAATCATAAAGAAGCCATTCGACGTCAACAAAAATTGTTTTGTTTTTTTACGATTTTCTTAAATAGTGGTCTTTTTGGTGTTTTTTCTTAAATAGTGGTTAAGATGTTTCTACAACATTAGTTGTCATTCACAATTATTTTTAAAAAAGTTTAATTGCAGCATAAATTTTGTGGTTTGCGTTTTAATCACTTGGCATCTTTTGATTTATATAAATACACTAGGCAACTTTTGATAATTATCTTGCTTTAAAATTTGATTTTTTTTTTTACTATTTATATATCCTTACAAAATGTTGAAAATCAAAAACAGAAAAACAAAAAAAATTAGTTATAACGCTTGTAGGTCTGTTTACCTGCCTAACTCTACTTTTAGCCATCTACCAACAAACCATCGAATAGAAATGTTCTTCGATATTATTTGTTCCTAACTTCAGCTAGAGATAAGCGATTCAAACCTAATTAAACAAACTTTTCATGTTCTCCAGTTTGAGAGGATGTTATATGCAAAGGGAAAGTTTTGTAATTCAAAAAATACTATTTACTCTGACAAATTGTAAATATTTGGAAGCCTGCTGGTTTCGGTAATTACTTGATTTCTGAGAGAAGTATTTCCAAACGCCAATTTCCAAACGCCACAAAAATGACTTTTACAATATGTTAAAATCACAATTAGGTAATATCAAAGTATAATTTGTTTAACACATAAAAATACTTATTTCAACTTCTGATTAAATAAAAAGAGAGAATATAAACAAGTTTTTCTAATAATGCATGGGCATTTTAGGTAAATTTATTAATTTTTTAAAGTAAATGTATAATTGAGCTTAAAATCTTTATATTAATTTAAATGTTGGAAGTGTAATTGCTGAGCCAGAAGTTTTTGACGCAAATAAAAATGTTAACTTTCACAAAGCAAGCTTAAAAAGTAGGCATCAGTTTAGACCAGCATACTTAAGAGTATAAATAGAGATAACCAAACCCTTCTTATTGCAAGCATAGTAAACTATTTAGGAGGAGCTGTTTAACAACTAAAGTTAAGCAGAGAATGTCAAAAGGCGACATTACAGATTTTTATGAAAGGAAAGAGGCCAGATATGTAATGAATATATTGATTTAATGGCTAACAAGATGTTAGTTTTACATTTTGATGGCAAAATTTTAAAGCATATTGACAAGACTAGACAGACAACTACTGCAGAAAGACTATCTATATCTTTAACCAGTCCAGAGATTGAAACCAAAGATGATCTTTTACTTGGTGTTGTGCCAACTGATAGTGGTAAGGGAATTGATATGGCTATAAGTAATATGAATCTCGTAGAATATTTTAAAATTTGTGACTATATTGTAGGATTCTGATTTTACACCTGTAACACTGGATGGAATTCTGGTGTAATAACTATTATGGCAAGATTTCTTGGTAAACCATTTCTTTGGTTATTTTGTAGACACCATATTACCGAGATAAATATTACATGGGCTTTTAAAGAAATTTCAAGGAAAAGAAACGTCTTAAGCCCCTGCAAATAAGCTAAAAGATTTTCAGAAGAAATGGATAACAGAATTTTATCCAAAAGTTTCAGCTAATGGTGCTGTAGAAAAGCTCAAATTATTTCCTGAGCAAGACCTTATTATTAACAGTGATTTCTGCAAACTCTAATTGAAGTCTAAAAAGTTTGTACCTAAAGCACTAGAACATGAAATCTTCCCCAGGTATGTAACAATAATATAAAATGAATTAGTTTTTCCATAAATATACTTTTTTTTTAAAAGATGTTAAATAAAAATAAGAATATTTTAGGAATGATTACAGGCATCTTGTTGAATATTTGGCGTATTACATAAACATTAAATCTGAGAAACTAAATAATTTTCACATCTATCAGCCTGGCGTCACAATGCAAGTTTTATGGTCTATGCAATATACTTTCTAATACTCAATATGACATCCACAGTCATTGAATATCTGATTCCTGAAAAGAAACATATGGTCTCCAGGGTAGCACTTTATTGTTAATATTTATTAACGACATGCCTTTCTTAAATCAGGCAAAGCAGAGCATGCCGTTATAAATCATTATAATGCAATAAAAATTGCTGAAACAATTTAATCAGAATGGGATTATGAAGTTGAAAACTTACTTCAGAAAAGTAACCACACCTGGTATTTATCTTCTAAAGTCATCGTACTTTCGTTAGCTGATCCTTATATGAAAGCAGATGCTAAGCTTTTAATCATTGAGAAACTTTTAAAATTTCCAGTTCCTGGGTTATCAGAGATTTCTGTAGAAGCTCCTTCTGCTGTTATTGTTACCAGTGATAGTTGATTAGAGGATTTAATTACGAAGGAGAGTAAGCTTTTTTTTATACTTACAGGTCACACCTAATCTGTTCAAGAGTGGCATACTTCAAGTAATTTCTTAGTGCTAGATTCATACACACTTTTCACTCAGTTCGCAATATTAGTGTGACTAACCACTTTGCAATGTTAGTGTGACCAACAATTGCGAAAAAAATATTATTTTAATTGAAAACTTTGTTCACAGTTCCCACAGCTTTAGAGACAGAACATTCTTTTGGTAGTCAGGGAACGTAGAAAGCTAATAACAAAAGATATGTCACTTAAGGAACTGGTAAAGCTGAAACCTAGAGTTGAAAAATTAATATAAAATAATAGCTAACTGTATTAAACTACAAACAGTGTTTTTTTCCTTCTAAGATCAAACAAATTAATTATAAATATTATTTTAACCTGTAAAAATGACAAATTCAGCCAATCCACACATTTGAAAAACTACATGTATCACTTCCAACAAACAAAAATAATTGAAATTTTGTATTTAGACTAACTGAATGTTGTAAAACAGAATAAGCAACTACAATTGTTGATTTTGGAAAAATGTAATTTTTCAACCCTACTTTGTGTCACCCAAGTGTGTATTCAATCGACTCCATTGAAAACAAAATAAAACTGTTTTTTCATCTTTTAGCTTTTTTTTTTTTTTTTTGAACCTGAAAAGATCCATGAATAAAGGCTATTAGAAAATTAATTTTTCAATTTAGTTAACAAAAACCTGTTAAACATTTAAAAAAACTTGCAATGATATGTTAAAATTACAAAGACAAAGGTTCAGAAAACCAAAATATATGTATACATATTTTAATTTATTATTAACTTTTTACATTATTAAAATATTATTAAAACTATGAAAAGATTTAGATTTGGACCTTCTGAGTTAAGCAAACACCATAAATAAACAGAGAAAAGCTTTATAATACGGCTGTAACCTACTCTCGTATAAGGATTTTAAAAAGAGTTCCACTAATGTAAAATAAAGAACCAGGTAATAAAAAAATGTTTGTAGAAATGAATATATTAGACTTAATTATGATTAAAACTTATTCTAGGTTTAAATAAAACAACAAAAACAATAAAATAACAAAAGAATTTATAAGGATTTTTTTTAAATTTTTTAAATTTATTTAAAAACAAAATACTCAGCTGATTAGACTATTCTGAAACTTTTTTTATTTATTTAAAAACTCTATTTAAAATAATTTTTTAGTTTCAACTTTGGTTTCAACATTAAAAAAAAAATCCAGTTTTGTAATAACTAGATTAATTCTTCAGAGAAATTTAAAATCTAAATAAAGTTTTTAATCTTTTAAAATCTAAATAAAAGTTTTTACTCTGTTTTTAATGGAATCTGTTCCATGTACACTCTAAGTACAAATATTTTTCAACGCATCTGACTAAGATGCGTTGAAAAATATTTGTTATAAAAAAATTATTTAAAAGCTATGAAAAAATATGGCACAATTAAAGTAAATATGGCTTTAAAAGTTTTTATTTTATTTTATATTTATCTAAAAGTTTAAAATTATGATTTTAAATTAAATTACTTTTCCATAAGTGGTGCCAACATCTTCTCCAAATTATTGTTATAAACTCCATCTTCTAGAAGTATTGTCTCCTTTTTCTTCCCTAAAATAAATTTTGAAAACTTTTGGAAAGAAAAAAAAAACTGTCAATAATTTGCTATATAAACTCTATCTTTTTAACTATAAGCATTATTCCTTTTTTCTTTCCTAAAATAAAATTTTTAAACCTTAAAAAAAAACAATTTTGATGAGCATTTACAAATTTAACAAATTATTAAAAATTGAATTTCTTTTCTAGTAACATAATAAAAGGTACCCTAATTGTTACTGAAAATGAAGAAGAGTGTTATCCATTGAGAGCAACTTTAATACTGCAATTAGAAAGGAAAGAGTCTATACAAAGATTTTGATTTTTTTCATGATTTTTTTCATGATTCTTTTTTTCAATATATATCAAGTGTTACCAAAATGAAGCTTTATCAAAATGTTAAACATTTGACTAAACTTAATAACAATCAGTTAATACAGGACTAATATCTTAACAATCAGTAAACTTTATCTTGTTTACTTTTTAAATTTTTCAAAATCAAAAATTATTTTTACAATTATATTATACTACTTGAAAAACCTTTAAAAATAAACAAAAAAAAATTCATTTTACTATTTTTGTTATTTATTATTTTAAAGAGAAATATTTATATTTTTGTTATTCGTTAAGACTTTATAGATAAACTTATAGATAAATTTATATTTATATTATATTTATAGATAAATATTCATATTAGTTAGCATTATTTTGTCATTCTAAAAAAAATAAAACAATCTTGTAAAATAAAAATATTGAACATGTTTAAAAGGTTTTGATTGGATCAGTCCTATACTATATAATAGAACAAACTATTCAATTAAACTAATTTCAGTGGGCTTATTTTGAATAAAATCGAGCTTATCCCCTTATCCCATAAAAACCACAGATTTAAAAAAAAAGGTAGAACAATAATTGCATCAATACAAATGGTTACATAATGTAAACTATTTTATTACATAAATATTTGCATATAAAAAATGCTAACCACTGCTTTTTTATAACATAAAGAATGAAATATAATGAAAATTCGATTACACAAAAAATAGTCTAAGTGGCACCTAAATTAATTTGTTTGATCGAATTTAAAAACAAGAAAATTTTTATATATGAGCTATTTTCTCCAAGTTGTATAAAATAATTTATAAATAAAATAATATCATTTATATTTGATTAAAAATATAAAAAGATGATCAGAAGTAAAATAGACATTTTTGGGTTTTTAAAAAAAACCAAAATGTTTAATTGTTGTTCTTTTGCTATTTGAGAAAAATGTTTTTGACAAAAAAGTTTTTTTTGAAAAATTAATGTAAGCAAGAGAGCAACTAATTAAAATGCATTTGTAATTTAAATCTGAACAAGCAAGCTAAATGCATTGAACACAATGCAGTGAAGCAAATTCAAAACATGTTAAAATAATATTTAAAAGAAAATAAAACAATTCTTTCTATAAGAGAAGAAAAAAAATATTTTGTTTTTAAATGCAAGTTTATTGATAAATTAACTAGACATTAAACATAATAAAACATACAAGGCTTTGAAGGTTTTGTAAATGAAGGAGTCCATAATGCTGCAGCTTTCTTCTCTTTTGTATCTTCATTGTCTGGTGGACCCTATTTAATTTAATGTAACATTTATTATTTAAACTTCATTTTAATTGACTTAAATTTAAACTTAATTGTTATATAATCAAAATTATTCAACCAAATTTTATTTTACAAGTTATATTATACAAAACTTAAGACCTAAAGTCTCAGCGCTGGAAATAATTATTTAAAAGGTGCTGATCAACACTGATCAGCTGAAATGAAAAATATTGAAAAGATTAAATTTTTTTCTGGATGTTCAAATTTAATTTTTGTAGTTTTTAACTAATTTTTTGTAACCACAACACTTTATGCATTCCACTTTTGGAGTTAACGCAATATTTTAAAGGGTCATTTTGTTATAAAGCCTGATAATTTTGAATGGCCCAAAACAAATAATACTTTTTTAACAACCTGCTAAAGAAAAAGTTAAAGTTTTACTTTTAACTAAAACGAAATTTTACTTTTTTCTTACTAAGAAAAAAGTAAAAATATTTTTTCTCCTAGCTCGTGTTTTAGATAGTGATTAAAAACTTTATTTTTTTTATAGCGGGTCTTTTCTTTACAAAAGAAAATTGCAATTAAAAAGAGCTATAGTTGAAAATATAATTTTTGTTAAAAAACTATACTTGTTTTGGGTGATTCAAAATATTATGATAATAAAAAAAAAAAAGTTTTACTTATTTACTTTGCAGATGATTCAAATACTAAAAGATAGTATATAAATTATAATCATAAAATTGAAGCAGGCAAAAAAAAAAATTTATTTTTATTTTTTGCAAGCCTTAATTTTATGATTATAATTTATTTAATACTTTCTATTTAATCAATTTTAAGATTTAAAGCAAAAACCATTTCATTGTTTTGACATTTGATCTCAAACTTTTAAGATTTTAAAATAATTTAAAAACAAAAATAGTTACTTTACTAAAATTCATTTGATCCCTTTATTTATTATTTGGACTTTAAATTTTTTTTTCTGATTTTTAAAGTCAGTAAAACAATAATGATCTCAAATTACATTTACTCCATTAAAAAATATTTAGTATTTTTTATCATTCTGTATTTTTGGAAATTTAATAACATTTGCGCACTATTTTTATACTGTAAACTAAAGATTGTTATGGACTGGTTGTTATGGCCTCAAAACTATTTTTAACTAAACAATTCCAATTTTTTGTGTTTTAAAGATATTTGAGTTTTTTATTATTAAGTTTGCTTTACGATTATTTCAAATTCGATAGACCAGAATTAATATTGGGAGATCAAAACATCATTTTTTCCAAAAGTAGACAATTATTGATCATTCATCTGCCATTATTTCCAGCGCTGAAACCCTAAAGAAAACTGCCCTCATTCCAAGACTTTCAGATTTAGGCGCACTGGATTTTAGAGCCATGAACAAAGCCTTGATCTGGGATTTCAGATCACTGCATAAACTCTGTTTTTATTAGAATTCTGTATTCACACTAACAAAAAGCAACAGGCAAATTTTGCTGTAGTAGCTGGCAAAACATGCATTAATGTGAAGAGTATACACTTCTTGCATAAAGATACAATAAAAAAAATAAAAAGCTAAACAAAACAAATTGTATGTAAAACATTAAACAACAGCAAACAAGTATGATTGTTAAAGTTAAATAACAATTTTACAATTTTTGATTTAAACTTTACCAGTGCAGTTCCATCTTTAAAGTATGGATTGCTGAATTTTCCTATGCAGGCTTTACTCAAGCCATCGCTGGTTTGAATTCCTTCATCAAAGTTTGATAATTCATCCTACCATAAAAATGTGAAAAGTAAATTTTTCTAATTTAAAGGGACCACCAAGTCCTGAGACATGTTTTGTTCATATCAAAGAGAATGTTAAAGAAAAACGTCTGAGCAAATTTTTTTCGATTAAAACTAATTAACAAATGTATACCAAGAAAAATAAATTTTGTTGTTTTAGTCAAAGCTTGTTTTCTCCATTTTCTGCGATATTTAGAGTCTTTAAAATAAACGCAATTTTCCAGACGCATTATACAGACTTGATAATTTACTCAAGTACGCTTAACTCATAGAAGTTTTAGTACATGACATCATAGATTTTTTTTTTTTTTTTTTTTAAAACACCGATTATTATTTTTTACATTTTTACAATTTCCAAATCATATTCATTTTTATTATATTTTAAAGTTCTAATTATGTTTGTAAAAAAATTAAAAACAAAATAATATTTTATTTGCGCAACTTTTTTTAGACCACACGTATTTTGATTTCTTTTGTTATGAGTTTTTCTTTCAAAATATTAGATAAAATAATTTTTAACCTAAAATAATAATGCATTTTTATTAATTTACTTTGTAAATATTGAAAAAAATTTATGCATTTTTTCCCTGATTTTCAAAAATGCATTTTTTGGTATTAAGGTGATGTTATTTCATTATTTATTTTTCCATTATTATAATATCCAATAAAGGCGGGGGCTTAAAAATTAAAAAAGTAATATATATTAATTTTTGTTTTAGGGACATAAATGGAAACATAATTAACTCGAATGTTCTTAAAACATCTTGCGGAAGAATAAAAAGAATATTCGCAAACACTAAAAACCAGCAAAATTTACGAAATACTAATTCTATTGGTTCAAAAAATAAAATGACTAAGCGAAAAAAAGTTCTAGAGTATTCTGTTCAAATGTTATAGCAATTAATCACAATTTGTTGCGTTTTGAGATATCTAGCATAAATTGTTTTAAGAATATATTATCAAATGAACTATTACTTTAATATTATGGCTCATTCTTGGAGCCACATCTGCAAAGCCATAAATCTTTTAAACTATTATCATTTGTTTACACAAATAAATCTTTTATAATATATATTTTTTAAATTGTCAAAATTTTGAAAGTTAATTACAAATTATATATTTTATTAGTATATTCTTATGTTTTATATCTCTTCCTAGTGCTTGATTTATTTAATTGTTTGTTAGATTTGTCAAAACAACTTGCATCAGAAAATGGAGAAGACAAGCTTCGACTAAAACAACAAGATGTGTTTTTCTTGGTATACATTTATTAATTAGTTTTAATCAAAAAAAATTTGCTCAGACGTTTTTTTTTTAACATTCTCTTTAATATGAACACAACATGTCTCAGGACTTGGTGGTCCCTTTAAAGAAAAATAAATAACATATATATTTTGTTTTGAAAGAGGTACCATAACTCAGGCTTGGACAGGAATGGCTTGCGATCGCACTCTGTAACTGAAAACGCTAATATTGTTTTTTCTTTACAATTTGACCACAGCAATTTTGATGTCTTAACAATTTAAATGCAATAAAAGAAAGTGTTACATTATGAATAACTTTTAATTGTTGATCTTTTCTAAAGTTTTTACTTTATGCGAGGCTTTAAATAAAACTATAAAAATAATTGTAATGATTGTTTACATAAAAGCATGTGATAATTAATAAAAAATGTTATACAAAAGTTCTAATATTAGTAAAAAATATTAATAAAAATCTTTTAAACAAAAATTATATTTTTTGAAAGTCTTTTTTTCTATTTTTTTATTACGATAGGAATGAATGAATTTAAATTTTTAATGATAACTTTTAAATTCGTTACGTGAAGTGCTTATTAATAAAGTTGTAATGCTCAAATTAAATTGTTTGTTGATAGTTTATTTTATTTAAATCGCATGCGGATTTTGTTATTTATTTTTTTCCCCTATAAAAAAAGTTAAAACCTTTTTTTTAACTAAACTTACTAATTAAAGCTTGAAATTATTAAAAATTACATACAACATATATTTAATTTTTTTTTTTTTTTGGTGCTTATTTAATTTTTCGTAATAAATTTTTTTTCTTTTCTTTTTTTGTAAGGATTTTTTTTTTCAATAGGTTAGCATTTCTACATCCAGCGCATTTCCGGAATGTTTAAATTATCAAAAAATATAAACAATCGGGGTCAAGTTGTCAAAAAATAAAACCATTTGTGTGGTCAACAATAGCCCTCGATCGCACACCATTCCTGTCCAAGTCTGATAACTTATGCACAGAAATGAGGAAAAAATAGCCTTACAATAAAAGTTTTAGTGTATAACATTTTTATTTAATAGTTAATGTTAAATATAAAAGCTGTTCTGATTTTGTTATCCATGGTAACAAAACATTTGACTCATCATTTTAAAATTTAAAATTTTGAATTGAGTCATTTTTTTTTTCATCTTTAGATTCAAGAACTTGAAAAATGGTCAGATTTCTAAATTTCAACAACTTCAAATTGTGCTGATTTCCAGTCATTTTCTCAAACTTGAACTAGAAAAAATACCTTTACAAAACCTATATGCATTAATAAGGAAATTATTGTTAAAGAGACCAAAACCATATTTTATATTAAGTTAATATAATATATATATCTTAATATATATACATATATATATATATATATATATATATATATATATATATATATATATATATATATATATATATATATATATATATATATATATATATATATATATATATACATATATATACATATATACATATATATACATATATACATATATATATACATATATATATATATATATATATATATATATATATATATATATATATATATATATATATATATATATATATATATATATATATATATATATATATCTTATACTGCTGAGTTAGGTGAGCATGATGATGTCATACTTACCTAACATCAAATAGCCTGCTGCCATCTTAATATATATATGTATATATATATTAAGATGGCTTAATACTCTTTCATTTAAAAAAAAAATTAAATTCATGAGTTTGTCAACTGGGGGAATTATTAAAAGTGCAACCCATGGTAATGGAATAGAAAATTTATCTTAAAGATTAAAAATATTAAAAAATGACCACTCAAATTCAAAGTGACTAAAATACTTTAAAAATAGTAAATATACCTGTACATGTCGATTTCTTTTTAATGCTAGGTCAACTTTTTTCAATTCCTCTATCAGAACATTCTTTTATGGAAAAAAAAATAATCAAAAATTATTATTTTTATATAAAAATATGTGTATTAAATTGTTTATAGTTTTAAAAAATTAACTCAATTTTCTTATTTTATATAGATGTTGACTACTAAAGATGGAAGTCACAAACATTTTAAATTGCATTAACTATGCATTAAATATACTCTCTCTCTCTCTCTCTCTCTCTCTCTCTCTCTCTCTCTCTCTCTCTCTCTCTCTCCTCTCTCTCTCTCTCTCTCTCTCTCTCTCTCTCTCTCTCTCTCTCTATATATATATATATATATATATATATATATATATATATATATATATATATATATATATATATATATATATATATATATATATATATATATATATATATATATATATTATTATTATATAAATATATAAAACATGCAAAGAGCCACAGCACAATTATCACGGATTGTGATAATGCCAACCTAGCTGACCCAAAAACGCCACTTATATGGGGTGATAGTATACACATCAAGGTACCCTGTGATTTGCTTTTGGAAGTATGGTTTGAATTAGCTTATTCATAGCATAAATATCACAACATTTCCTATAAAATAAACTAACTTTTTTTATAGAGTATATAGAGTATATTGGAGTATTTATAGAATATATTTTACCGAGTAAATTTGTTAGTTTGTAAAAATATTGAAGAGTATTTGTTTAAAAGAGTATATTAACTTAATATACTCTTTTAGACAAATACTAGAATAATAGAATTTTATTAAAATTCATAATTACTAACAGTAATCAAGGATTAAAATGGTTAAAATGTTTATTATAAGCCGTAAGCTATAATATTTTGCTGCCTTATCTTATAAATCAAATTATAATAGAAGTTTTTTAAAGATGCTTATTGTTCAGATCAGTTATGCGGCATAACAACCTTTCTTTGTACTCTGGATGATTGTTTGGTTTCTACCTTAACCAATTTTTATAAAACTCTTGATGAGCATAGTCGACAGTTTGTTCATTATAGAGCTCCAAGGAGGACTGATAAAATCTTTGCGACTGATGAAATCTTTGATGTGGTATAAGACGAAGTGAATTTCGGTAGTTACGTTTTCACCAGTTATCATTAAGTAACACCTTTTGTAATTTTTAAATACTTCAGTGAAATCTAGCTGAAGGATAAATCCGAAGCAAGCTTTTACAAATACATTAAATGCTTCAATTATGTAAAAAATGTCGGTAACCGAGTTTATTTCAGCAAGTGCTGGAGCACATCCACAATTTTAAGAAGCTTCCTGCATTTATTTCCCTCAAACTGGCCCCCATGATACAGGCTCAGTTAAATGTGGAGGGCAACTAGCAATTTAACCGCTTCTATTAAAGCAGTTTTAAGTATCTTGAAAAGATGATTGATTTGATCAATGGTGGAGTGAGTTTCTGGCAAATCTTCTGATATGGCAACAATAATTTGTCTCATTACTCCAGTTTCTTTGCCAGTCTTTTAGCGAGTAGTTGTTTTTGAGGCGGTGAGCTGGTATCAACTCTTAATGTAGTATCAACAATGCTTAGACGAAACTTGAGAAAGCCTTTACCACCATCAATTCACAGCTTAACAAAACATCCACCAGAAAATTTGCTAGACTGAATAACATGATTCATAAGACCTGATAAATAAATGCATTGGGAAACAATCTGAAGTGTACCAGAAAGTGTACCTTTTAAGTTGATTATTTTGAAGTCATTGCAGATGAAAAAATCGCTTAAGTGTTGACCTGCTCTTTTTTTTTTTTTAATTATCTTCGCTTCCAACAAGGTTGCAAGCAACCACTAATTAGTGTTGGAAGTTACTGGAAGAGAAAAGATGAAGATTGTAGAGCAAGATAACGATTGACAGACGACTTAAAAGATTGCAAATTATATGAATCAGGAAAGCAAGATGAAGGAAGCGAATTCCAAAGAACTGATGTTCGAGGTAAAAAAAACTAGACGAATAAGAGTTTTTGGAGCACTTAGGAACAGTAACAGAAAAAGGATGAGACTTAATTGAATGACGAGTAACACAAGAATGAATTTTAGTAGATAGCACAAGAGACGCTAGCTCTTTAGAGCAGTGCCCATTATAGTATTTGTAGAAAAGAGAAAGAGAAGCAACATTACGACGATGTGACAGAGGTTGAAGGTTGGCTGCAAGAGCAGGTCCAACTATGTTTACAATGCGTTTTTGCACCTTGTCTAAAAGAGAAAGGGCATCATTAGAAGATCCGCCCCAGATATGGCAACAGTATTCCATACAAGGCCGGATTTCAGATATATAGAGATAGAGAATAGAATCCAGAGTAAGAAAGTGACGAGCTCGATAAAGAGAAGCAACTTTAGCAGATGCTAATTTTGCAATGGATTTGATATAAGGTTTCCAAGAAAGATCAGAAGTAAGAGTTAATCCTAGAAGATGAAGGGTAGGAGACTCATCGAGTACATTACCGTTCATAAATATAGAAAGGTCTAAATTATTGCGATAACAATTGGCCGAAAAAAATTGAGTTTTATCTGAATTAAAGTTCACCAGCCACTGCGAGCCCCATGCTGTAGCAGAAGTGAGATCCTTTTCGAGCTCAGATGCCCCCTGCAAGCAATCAGAGGGAGTTGGCTTCTTATCGTGACAAGAATAAATGGTAGTATCATCAGCGAACAATGCCACCCAATGAGGCCTTAACCTCTCCACCTTAATCTAAAGATTCAAAAACCTTGCTTATGATAGGAAGAAGACTAATGGGACGGTAGTTAGATGAGTCAGATCGCTCTCCAGAATTTTTAAAAATAGGGATAACAGATGCTGCTTTCCAGCAGGCTGGAAAACAAGACTCTGATAAGCACTTGTTGAATAGTTTTGAAAAGATAGACGACAGCTCAGGAGAACACTTCTGCAAGACTTTAACAGGTATGTTGTCCCGGCCGCAAGCTGTAGAAGAGTCTAAGCGGGAAATAACTTTAGATACAGAAGCTGGAGTGATATGAATGTCGAGCAATGGATCAACCTGTTTCTCGGGTATATCAGGTAAAACGCAACTAGTGGCATCAAGAGATGATATTGATGAAAAGTTCTTGGCAAACAATTCAGCTTTGTCTTTAGGTGAGGTGACAAAGTCTGAACCGTACAAAAGAGGTGGAATTACAGACTTGCCCTTATTATTGATACTATTAAAGATTCTCCAGAAGTCACGAGAGCCTAATTTTTGTGATGAAATACGAGATTTCATCATCTGAGAATAGCGGGCTTGGGAATTAGACAAAACTTTTTTACAATGGTTCCTAGCAGTAATAAAGAGACGTCTGTTTTCTGGAGAATTGTTTTGCTGATAGATATGGAAGTAATGGTTTCGATTGGCAATTGCAGCAGCACAATGTGAGGAAAACCATGGAGAAGAGTAAGGCTTGACCTGGAATCGTCGAGAGGGAATAAAGGATTCCATGCCAGCCTGAATCCACGAAGTTATGTAAGAAGCACATTTGTCAACAGGGAGACGAAAGATTTCTACCCAGGGGCCATCACAAAGAAAGTCACGAAAAGAATCCCAGTCAGCTTTAAGGTAGTTGTAAGATGTACGATGATAGGGGGATTCTAATGGTAAAGAAGAATGAGATAATAGTTTTAGAGAGACCAAACCATGATTAGACCCACCTAAGGGTGAGTGTGAAGAAACTGAACACTGACTAGGATCAGAAACAAGACATAAGTCGAGTAGAGAAGGTAAATGATTCGGATTGTCTGGAAAGCGAGTTGGAAAGTTGACTATTTGAGTTAGGGATTGAGAAAGACAAAAGTTGTGGGCCTTAATGCCTGCAGAGTCACTGACACTAGAGCCAAGCCATTCAGTGTGATGAACATTAAAGTCACCGACAACAACAATATTGGCTGATGGATAAAGAATGAGGGCTTGGTCAATATAATCAGAAATAACATCAAAATGAGTGCAGTCTTGGGATGAGGGAGAGTGATATAGAACAAAGAGAAAGGTGATAGAGTGAAGTGGTGCTAAACAAAAGCACATAAAAGAGTAGTGGATTCAAACCTAGTTTCCCGACAAATGGGTGAATTCTTACGAATGTAAATGCCCAGGCCAAGCATGTGACTATTGGAGTCTTTACGAATTAAAGGAAGATAACCATCAACACTAAGATCACAAGATGAGACAGCTGTACTCAAATTAGTCTCACAAAGAGCAAGCAGGTCTGGTGAACTTTGCAAGAGATAAGACTCAACAGAAGAAAAGTTACTTCACGAATATTGACCACGAATATTGGTGAATGATAGGTTTAGCGAACTTGGTGATGACTGTGGTTTTTTGTGTTTTATAGTTTTTGTTACTTTATTCATTTTTAAATTTGTTAAAGAACTTGACTCGAAACATTGATAGTACTCAGTACACTGTTCTATAGCTCAAGCAATTGCCTCATTTCCACTAATAAACCCTAAGCCGTAACAAAGGGCTCCAATGTGGCCTTGGCAATGCACACCAAAAGTACAAACAGGGACACCATCCATGCGCAACATGGCACTGTTAGTACTCTGATATTTTTCAGCTGTTGATGGAATCAGCCTCTCTGAGAGCTGCCACAGAGTTCGGGAAACCTGACTACCAGCCGGCCTCAGAACCATAAAACTGAGTTTTAGAGCTGTACCCCAAGATGAGTATTTTTATCGAGACACCATCTCTAGCCTTTACTCAACCAAGAGCCCCAAGGCAGGGGGTGTTTTATGTCGGAGTTTGCATCTCCTAGCCTTTGCCTAAAAAGGCATATCCTACAAGGCAGCAGGACATGAAGCAGATTGTACTGGGTTACATGTTACCAGTAGCAGGATAAACCTGACCTGACTGAGTTTCTTAAAAGATTCTTAAGAGCTCTTAAGAGATTCTTATAAAAAGTTGGCCATTTTACTGCTTGATGTTTGGCTTTAGTTATGACTAGCTTCTTAAATCCATTTTATTATTCCATATTTAATTGTACATTTACAAGAGCTAGAGAGATCAATTTTGGAGTGCTTGATAATAGCTGGGCACTACATCGACCTGAAACTAAATCTTACACATTCTATCTTTATATTAAACTTTGTTCAGAAAGTTTGTTCAAAACTTTTAAATTATTTGTTTTTAAGTGGTTAAAAAGTTATTAAAAATATATATTTCAAAACTTTGTCTCTTTTTTTAAAGACTTTCTTTGAATATATATGTAAAAATTATTTAAGTAAAAATATTTACCTGGGGTAAATATTTTTTACAATGGGCCTAGACTTACAAATATTTTCCCTGGTGGGCCTAGACTTACAAATATTTACCTGGGGTAAATATTTGTAAGTCTAGGCCCACCAGGTGCTTTAGCAAGCCGAATAGTTCCTTCAGGGAATAATACTTTATTGGAAATAACTCAAGATGCAAATTGATCGGCTGCTCTGACATCTTTTGCAACTAAATATTAAAGGTCTTTCCTGAACTTTATTTTAGAGCATAGGTGGGGCAAACTTTTTCCTAAAAGACAAAGGCATGGGCAGCAACGTACATTTGGTTCTTTCTCAATGGTGGTTTGCTCTTCAAGAGGTTTTTTTCTTGCAGCTTTAACAACTAATTTGGCAGATTAGGCAATAACATATTGTGCTTTTTGTTTCAGGTATCACTTGTATTAAATTACAATTAAACAAAGGAGGGAGTATAAATTCTTTCCCCTCTTGTTTCCTGAGAAAAATTGTTCTACAGGATTTGTTGAGTCCTTTTGCTACCCGAGCATCACAAATATTAATCTTTCTCTCGTACAGTTGGCATCTTCGATCTGCTTAGAAAGCAGTAAGCCTTCTTAAACATTTTTTCAGACAAACCAAGCACCAAGCACACAAATTTTTTGATTTTCAATGTGAACCTTTGCTTGATTTGGCATTGTGGCAATCCACTAAATCCAACTGCACTATCACGGTCTATAGGTATGATGGCGCAGTATATTCAAAGATATTCGAATGAAACTGAAAAACAAAACAGATTGCTCACTGTAGACAAAGTTCGATCTGTATTCAGATCACCATAACAAAAATCTAGTAAAACTTCAAAGATTAAGTATATATATATATATATATATATATATATATATATATATATATATATATATATATATATATATATATATATATATATATATATATATATATATATATATATATATATATATATATATATATATATATATATATATATATATATATATATATATATATATATATATATATATATATATATATATATATATATATATATATATATATATATATGTATATATATATATGTATGTGTGTGTATATATATATATATATATATATATATATATATATATATATATATATATATATATATATATATATATATATATATATATATATATATATATATATATATATACAAGCTTGGTCAAGAAAGCGTGCGATTGCACGCCATTATATGACCACGCAAATAATACTTCATTTTGATGATTTGACCAGTTGTTATCATTTTAAAAAGGTGCTGAAAGAAATTATTTTTAATTATGTCAAAAATAAATAACTTTGAAACTTTTATCTTAACTAACATTTTTATATTAGCGAAATGCTTTTAAATAAAGTAACAGTTAACGTTAAGTTACCGTTAACGTTTTAATTTAAAGTATAGATGAAAGTTGTATAAATTTTAATTTATATTAATTAAATATATATAAGATTAACTAATATATAAGATTAATTAATAAATAAAACAATATATAAAATTTTTTTGTAATTAATCTTATTTATTTTTTAATTATTTAAATTCTATAGGCGACGACTTTAAACAATGAACGTCTCTTTAATAAATTTTATTTAAGAATCATTAAAGTTAATACTCGATAAGATTTTGAAAAAAAGTCAAACTTTTGAATTAAAGACCATTTAAATTAAATAACTTTGATCTTTACAAATGTTTTTATATTATTAAAATGGTTTTGAAAAAAGTAGCAATTAACTGTTAACGATTTCTTACATAAAGTAATCATGTATTTTTCTTTAGTCTTTAAATAAAAAATTATTGGTTTAAAATTAATATACTCGAAATATAACAAGTTTTAAGTTGAACCGTTTTTTTTAAAAATACCACTAATGCGCAATAATGTTTTCTATAAAAACAAAACTACTTATTTAAATTTTTTTGTCGATTAGTACTATTTATTTTTTCTTTTTTTACTATTAATATAATTTTATATGGTGCAGTAACAAAGCAGACAGGACACTACTAGTTTTACATTATAAAAACATTAGTAAAGATTCAAAGTTATTTATTTCAAACATAATTATCTTATTGTTTATTATTTATTTTAGTTAAGTTTTGTTTTTATTTTATTTTTTTTTAGTTTTAGTTATTTATAACTAAGCTGTTTTTATTTTATTTTTCATTATGTTTTTAAGATTTTTTTTTCTTTTTTTAAAACAAGTTTGTTTTATAACTATTTTTTTTGTCTTTATAACTAAGTTAAGTTTTCAGAGCTTTATTAAAAATTTAAAACTGTGGTCAAATCGTCAAAACAAAATAAGATTTGCGTGGTCATATAAAACCGTGAAATCGCACACCTTCTTGACCAAGCTTTTATATATATATATATATATATATATATATATATATATATATATATATATATATATATATATATATATATATATATATATATATATATATATATATATATATATATATATATATATATATATATATATATATATATATATATATATATATTTATGGGATATATTTTAATAAAAACAAAAACTAGTTATTTATTACTATTGTAATAAATACAATCTCTTATCTATGAAAATGATATATCTGTACCAGTTTTATATATTTTTATCCATTTGTATGCAACATAATTAAAATTATTCAAAAAATATAAGATAGATGCAAAAGGAAACTTGACGCATAAAAGTTTATTTTGCTACAAACTAATGTCAATGCGCAAAATCTTTTTGGCTTAACTTTTATATGAGCGTTTAATATTATTCTTTAATTTTTAATCATAATCATCATAATCATAAGAATTAACTTTTTTTATGACTATGTTTTAGCGGTCTAAGATCTTTTTAATTCCGTTTGTATAGCGTTACGTACAAACGTCTGTAAGTGTAAACATCGTACAAACACCTGTAAGTATAGCATATGTTGAGTTTGCAGGCATTATATGGAATAATCGCGTATAATATATCTAAAGAATGAGAAAACTTTAAAAATTTATTTTAAATTTTAGAAATCTTTTTGCTATATTTTTTTTTTTTTTGCTATAAATATATTAGCAAGATTGAAAAAATTTCAAAATTTATTATGCTAAGAGAAGATCTAATATAAAGAGAAGATCTAATATAAGATAAGATCTAAAATAACTATAACAAAAATTGATGGTACTATAATAATTATAACAAAAATTGATGGCACACAGCAGAACACTAATGTAACCATTATTTTGAAAATAATGACCGAATATCACAGTAATCGGTAACATTTTAAAAACTGTAATTTCTTTTATCCTACAATATATATCATGATAAATATGAAATTTTAAGTTAAGTTATAACATGTTGATTAATAAAAAAAAAAATTGGAAAGTTTGAATAACTTTTAAACAACACTTAACATGTTTAAAAAAAATAAAAAATAAAAAAAAAAATAAAAAACAAACAAACAACAAAACAAATAATAAAACAAAAAACCTGATACTGTCTGTTGACTTGTAGGGTATTTTCTAATGTACTAAGACTAGCACTGCAATTAAGTACTATTTGACCTAAAAATAAAAATTCAATTGTATATACAGCTACCCTAATCCTATATAGTACAATATTGCTTTAATGGCATTACAATAGTAAAAGCAAACTGCTATTTTATATTACTTTAAAATAATATCAACTTTCCAAAGTTTTTTTTTTAATAAACTTTGCATATGTTTGATATGAAAACCACTTGCGTTAGATTTTTAAACAACCAATGCAATCAAGCTTTAAACAACGATTTTTCTATTTCATTGATATAAAAAATATAAAAAGATTTTTTTTATCTTATAACAACTTTAAAACAAATAAAAAAAAAAATGTGTGCAAAATATTGTATGTTTTTACAGTTTACATTTTGATGATTTCTTAGCTTTGTTTTTTATCTTATAACAACTTTAAAACAAACGTGTGCAAAATAAATGTTTTTACAGTTTACATTTTGATGATTTCTTAGCTTTGTTTGACCAAATTTGCCAACTTCAATGGATTTTAAAGAACTTATAGCCGGCTATTATATAATTAAAGTTATATTATAATATTAAAATATTATAATATTAAAAGTGTAGATCTACTAAACAAAACAAAAATAAAAATAACTAAACAACTCACTTAGCATACCACCAAAAGAAAATAATATAATATTATAAAAAACTTTGGCATATAAACGTATTGGCATATAATATATTAAAACATTTATATATTATACATTGCTATTAAAATATTTATATATTAAACATTGCTAATAAAATATTTATATATTATACATTGCTATTAAAATATTTATATATTATACATTACAAGGTATTAGTTAAAATAGTATTTGCAAAAACTCAATACAATAAAATAGATGCTTACTTTTTATTATTTAGTAAATAAAAAGGTAATTTCGAACATTTATTTGGTTTAAATTTGTCAATTATGTTGCCATTAGTTTATGAAGTTAATGATTTCCAAAAGTTAGGTCACAATAATTCACTGAATTAATTCAGAAAAGATTCAAAAATAATATTTAATAAAGTGCCCTATAGACTATATTTATATAAAAAGCTACTCCATACGTACTTCATTCTCTGTACCTTTCTGGTACCGTACTGCTTATATTCTACTTTCAGAAAAAAACACCTACAAAATATTTTGTCTGGATCCCAAAAAAATTTGTATTTTTGTAAAAACACACAAAAATATTTTCACATATAAGCACAATAAATATTTTATTCAGTTATATGTTATTCCAATTTTAAAAAATGGAAAAAAGTCTAAAAATGTCCACAATGAACAGAGCCTTTATTTGATGGCTAATATGTTCTCAGGGGCTATTCTAGGAAAAAAATTTGGGTGGATACCCTCCTGTCCCAAAGAAGTTTAGCAGAAAATCAACATTTTTTTGCAAAAAAAAAAAACAATAATTGACATAAAAAACATAAAAAAATGAGTAGATATCCTTGAAGTACTGGTGGTATTAAATATCTGCCACATTTTTTTCTTTAATAAAATTAAAATTTTTACACTTCTATACTTCAATAATTTGAATAACAATAAGCTTTTAAAAGACTTAATACTCTTGAAATAATTTAAAAATTTAGAATTTAGAATTGACGATTAATTATTTTATTACGTATTTTATTTATTCATTAAAAAACTAGAACACAAATACATCACCCCGAGAGGAAAACTAGCAAATAGCAAGATCAATATTATCAAGCCATGTGAAAAACCTAAAAATTTCACTCTCAGAAGCTATTGAATAAAATGACACCTTGCAAAGGTGTTTAAGCCAGAGTATATAGATTAATTATCACTAACAACAATTATGATCCTGCCACATCTATGTGATTAATGAACATGTCTACCTAGCTAGTGAGCCAGGTGGTATTCCAGGAACAATCCTAAGAGATCACGCTATCATTTTGGTTGTCAATTCCCCCCCCCCTCCCCTTAACATTATTCTACAATCAAAGTCTTGCTCAACTTTTCCATGTTTTCCATGCATGCATGGAAAAATGTTCTGGTAATTCCAATTAAATCAAAAAAATCTTTGCAACGCTGCAAAGAAATTAGACAAGATTTCATTCAAGCAATGATTAACTCCATCTCTTTGTGGCAGTGGGTAAACCATTCCTTTGTGGCAATGGGTAAATCCATCCCTTTGTGGCAGTGGGTAAATCCATCTCTTTGTGGAAGTGGTTAACTCCATCCCTTTGTGGCAGTGATTAGCTCCACCCCTTTGTGGCAATGGTTAATTCAGTCCCTTTTGAAATTTAATCCTTCTTGATTTATTTTTGTGCGTGGTAATTATAATCATACAACTAATGCCTTGCTATTGGTGGTTACTTTAACCTTAAATAATCTCTTACTTTCAGGTGGGTAAATTCAATGTATTAAAATCTACTTTCAAATAGCATTTAATAAAAACTCTTGTCTAGTTGTCTGCCTTGTAGCTAAAAATGAATTTAAATTTCTGGACACTGCTTCAACAATTGTATTTATGCCATTGTTCTCAAAAGATTGTTTTTCCAACTTCCTTCTCTTGGACCAATACCACAAATGGAGTTCCACATGAGTCTCTAATCAGCTTATTTCTTTTTGCCATGGTAGTCAACAGTATGTCGGTCCTTGACCAACCCAGAAATCTCTTAAACTTGTATGCCAATGACACTTCATTATATCAAATGTAACTATCCATTGCCTGGCATCATACACTATCCCTTTGATTTAACAAGGAAAACTTATCTAACCTTAGTCTTTTTGTATATGCCTTACACTTGACCTGTGTTTTGCAATATTTCTAGCTCTCAATTCAGGAAAATTTCAACCATAGAGAAATATGCAGCAATCATATGAAACAAGCGCCCATGTTAAAATCAACCCTCAAAGCATCTTAAAGGCATCTGCCTCAAATTAATCAAAAGAGTTGCTAAATTGAATAATCATACTCTTCGAACATTGTTTTTAGTAAAAAATTTAAGTAACTCATAAACTGCAAAAATTCCACCAAAATTGACTTAATTATTCATTTCTTAATAAAAAGAAATATATCATTGGCTACCCGAGAGGGTAGCCAATGATATATTTCTTTTTATTAAGAAATGAATAACTAGTTGCACCCCTCACATAGACCACTAGATACATAAGAGGGGCACTGGTTAACTCCATCCCTTTGTGGCAGTGGATAACTGGCAACGGTTGAATGTGTTTCTAGTAATACATTCAACCGTTGATAATTGAAAAATAGGGTTATTTAAAAATTCTGGCATTTTTAATATGAATTTGTCAAGTTTATAATGTTTGCATTTTCAGATAGTTGGGTCTAATGGTCTTACATGCTGTCAATCTTAGATCAAAACAAAGTGTTGAAATTTTTGCTTTTAGATGTATTGGAGTTCTAAACTGCAACAAGCTGCCTATATTTTGCCCATTTATTGCAGACAGTAGGAAAACTTATCTGATTTGTAGAGAAAACTTATCTGACTTGTAGAAAACTTTTCTGACTTGTAAAGATTTGCAGATGAATAAAGAAATGCTACAGTCATTTTGGCATATTTTAACAATTTTAGGATTTTGTCGAAAGTTGAGGTCATAATTTTTCTATAATTTAATTAGGGGTGTACCAGATTGGAAATTTTAATCTCCGGCTGAAACCGGATTTGCTGGAATATATATAATTTATGCATCCTATACTTTTTAACTATTTAAAAGTTAAGAAACATTTAAAAATAAGACTATTGTCAGAAGCAGGTAACATTTTTGATGAAAAAAGAGCTTGTTTATTGCACAAAACTGGATTGCAACTCTTTTTGCACCACAATATTTCTAAACTTTCAGTAATCTTTACATAAGTGATTAATAAAATTAGGAAAAGCTACAGAAATGTGGTTTAAAATAATTTTATTTTATCGCTTGTAGCGCTTTCTTGTGGAGACATGCTCATAGTGGTGACTTTTTAATACAAACATAAAGAATATTTATTGGCTTTAGTACATACATCGACTATCTTATAGCCTGCTGTTACAAGAGAGTACTGCTACATCCATTATTTTAGAGCCTGCTGCTACAAGGGAGTGTTGCTACATCAGATATCTTATAGCCTGCTTCTACAAGAAAGTGCTGCTACATTGACTGAGGATTTGGCATAGTGCAACAATCATTTTTTTTTATTGTTGCAATTAAAATTTCTAATGTTTAAAAACTCTCCATGAGAGAGCAACAAGCGAAAAAATAAAATTATTTTAGAGCGCTAAAATGTAACTTTAACTAAAAATTACATTCTCTTTGTTAAGATTCTTGTATTTTTTTACCTAGTTTTACCCCATAGTCCTTCATTGCCCTGTAAGACAATAATTTTTTCTTTTAATTTACACAGTCTTGTGTCACATGTCTTAATTAAATAAAGTAAAAAACTAATTCTGGCATTTCGGCCAGAAATATTATAATTTCGGCCGGAACCGGAATAACCTAAATATCACAAATTCTGGCCAGAACAGAATTCCAATACATCCCTAAATTTAATACAAGTAAATAAAAACCATTTTTTTTAAAAAGAGACCTATCCAGAAAATAGTTTTAGAAAAAATGAGATACTTGTTGAAATTGAGAAAAAAGTTATACAGCTCTAAAGTTATGTTTTGATCATTTGTAAATCGAGGGGGTCACTGTGTCATGTTTTATAAGGCTATAATTTCTGACTATTGTATTTGGAAGTCTGAAATTTCAAATTTAACCTATCTACATAATGCACATAACAATATGTAAAAAGAGATGGTGGCCCACAAAACTTTCTTCAAATTGGTTTATATTAAAAATAGTTTTTCAAATTGAAATATAATGATTTGACCCATTTGCAGAATATTACAATATTGTGTATATAAATATATACAATATATAGATAGTTAAACTTACAAAAATAATAACCTTATTTGTTAAATAAACAATGAACTATTATAAATACAATAACAAACCTTTTTTAATACTTGGAGACGATTGGAATAAACTTTCTGCTTTATGTGCTTGATATCCTTTAAAGATTTTTTCAACATAAATATTTGCTGTTGCAATATTTTGACTTGAGTTATTTGAAGAAACATTTGATAATTCATCAGTTTCAGAGTTTTGCATGCAGGAGAGTGATGATTGTTCTTTTCCTACATTGAAACTTAGAAAGTCACCTTTCTCACTATATTTAGTCTCATCCAAACTAGACACAGGTTTGTTCAGAATATTCTTAACTTCTTCAAGGAAATTATTTTTAGACACATTGCTATGTTCTTCTGAACTCTCTTTCCATACTTGTTCTGCCTAAAATAATAAAACCCTTATATAAAATATAATATTCTTTGTGCATACATCAAAAAAATATAAACAGTAAACGTAGTGATTTAAATTAAATATAACCTAGATACTAAAAGAATAATTTTACAAAAGCATATAAATTAATTTAAAGTATAAACTGAAAAAAAAAAACGTGTGACTTGAATAAAACAAATAAACTGAACTAAGTAGAAAATAAATAATAAAAGACTTATTTTACTAATAACCATACAAATCAAACTAAATTAAAGTTGAAACAAGTATTTGTACTAAAATATACAAAAAAGTGTATAAAATATAAATATAAAAACAAAGAATCGCATTAAATTGTTCGCTACCAGCCAAACTAAAATCTTTTTGTAGCAATCGCACAGTTTTTTGAATAACATTTGAATAGCATAACATTGACAATTAATTAAAATTTGATAATAATAATAAAGTTTTTAACACGCATCATTAAACAATAAATGCAAAGTGCTTAAAACTATCATTTTTGTAAGTAGTAACTAAAACATTAAGTCCAAAACAAACCTCATTTAATGAATAAAAATAATATTTTTTCTTCAAAATACTTTAGTAATTACTTAACTAAATACTTGACACTTCTACAAGTTAAGTTTTACAGTGTTAACGCTTTTCATTTTATAACTAAATTTAAATTTTTGAAATCCAGTGTAAATCTTGTAAATCTGTGTAAATCTTGCTCTATTACATAGAGTAAGATTTACACAGGAGAACTTAGGTGGGGTAAGTCAATTGTGTAGAGAAAGACTTAATAATAAGTAAGAATTAATTAAAATATTATATATGAATATATTTATGAATGGTAATGTACTAGATGAGTCATCTACCATTCATCTTCTAGGATTAACTCTTACTTCTGATCTTTCTTTTAAACCGTATATCAAATCCATTGCAAAATTAGCATCTGCTAAGGTTGCATCTCTTTATCGAGCTCGACACTTTCTTACTCCAGATTCTATTCTCTATCTCTATAAATCTCAAATCCATCCCTGTATGGAATACTGTTGCCACATCTGGGGCGGATCTTCTAATGATGCTCTTTCTCTTTTAGACAAGGTGCAAAAACGAATTGTAAACATAGTTGGACCTGCTCTGGCAGCCAATCTCCAACCTTTGTCACATCGTCGTAATGTTGCTTCTCTTTCTCTTTTCTACAAATACTATAATAGGCACTGCTCTAAAGAGCTAGCGTCCCTTGTGCCATCTACTAAAATTCATTCTCGTGTTACTCGCCATTCAATTAAGTCTCATCCTTTTTCTGTGACTGTTCCTAAGTGCTTCAAAAACTCTTATTCTTCTAGTTTTTTTCCTCGAACATCAGTTCTTTGGAATTCGCTTCCTTCATCTTGCTTTCCTGATTCATATAATTTGCAATCTTTTAAGTCATCAGTCAATCGTCATCTTGCTCTACAGATTTAGTCTTTTCTCTTCCAGTAACTTCCAACTCTTATAGTGGTTGCTTGCAGCCTTGTTGGAAGTGAAGATGTTAAAAAAAAAAAAAAAAAAAAAAAAAAAAAAAAAAAAAAACAAGATATAAAGTCAAACTTAATATAAAAAAAACATTAATATAAGTATTAACATACAAAGATGATTAACCAAGAGAACCAGTTACATATATACAAAGATGATTAACCAAGAGAACCAGTTACAAAGTTGTAATAACTATAATAAACTTAATATCAACAAATTTTAAAATATTTTTGTGACGTATATGAATTCAAGTTCTCCTAAATGGTAACTAGTCACTCAAGAATTGTTCTCAGTAAAATCAAAATTATGAAGGATTATTCAAGATTTTTTAACTTTGTGATAACTTTTTTATAATTACACAATATAGCTCTTCATTTTTCTTGATTATGTAGAGAATTAATTAAACCTTCAGAACAAACAAATTCTATGTGTCGAGATTGGAAATTTATGTACAAAACAAGATACTTGTTTTGTACATAAATTTCCATTCTCGAAAGCCGCTACCAGTGGTTTGCGGTAGTGAAAGAGTTAAACCATACTAAATGTAAATTAAACATAAAACGAACAACTCTATTGCACCATATGAACTAAATATAAAACGAAAAACTGCATCATACTGCCTTTATTTTTTCTCTGCCTGCGAACTCTAATAATCACAAAATATGTATAATTGTGTCATGATTTTGGCTCGCTTCTACAACAAAGTAATAAAAAATTTATATATATATATATATATATATATATATATATATATATATATATATATATATATATATATATATATATATATATATATTTGTTTAATTTTTTACTGTCACAAATATTTTTTGTGATTTAGTAAAAAATTATACAAATATTAGATTTTCTGATTGTAGTAGAAAAAATACTTATATCTTTAAAAAAAAAAAAAAAAAAAAACGCTATTAAAAATATTGCGATGACGTCTTATACTGAAACTGTTATGAATTAAACACGCATTGAATAAATTATCAAGTCTGCAGATTGCGGTTAACATTATACAGACCCCAAAAACCAAAAAAAAATGGAAACGGCAAGCTTCGACTAAAAGGATAATTTTAATTTTGTTGGTATGCATTCATTATTTAGTTTCAATCAAAAAAATTCAGCCCAAATGTTTTTTTTAAACATTTTCTTTAATATGAACATAACTTGTTTCGGCAGTTGGGGATCCCTTTAAGCAAAAAAGTTATTTTAAAAAATGATTTTACCATACCATGGTTTTAAAGTGTAAAGGTTGTATAAAATGTTTTGACATTTATATACAGTCCTGTTGTGAAGCGTTAAAAATTGTATAGTAAAACCATAATGGAGAACTTTGATAATATTATAGTGCAGTTTTTTTAACATAATTTAGATGGTTTTAAATAATCATTTATACTTTTTTTCTTACATCAATGATTGCATTATTTTATTTGTTGTTTTTTAATATTGGATTTTTCATTACAACCATCATGACAAAAAAAAAATCCTTATAAAACTTCAAGTAAAAACTATGAAACTCAGTATATAAAAATATCAATATGTAATTTATTATGAACAACTTTTTTAACAAATGCACCAGCAGCTTCTGATAGATAACCTTGAAAAATGTGTTGTAGAGGATAACTCCTACAACACCTTAAAATATACTTTGTGGTGAAACTTTTTACACAAAATATATATTAAACTCAAGATATTGCTACTAATAAGGGTGACAACTAGCAAAAATATTAAGCTTTATGTTGTGCTTAACATTAAAGTAAGGGTGACAACAAGCAAAAATATTTAGCTATATGTTGTGCTTAACATTAAAGTAAGGGTGACAACTAGCAAAAATATTTAGCTATATGTTGTGCTTAACATTAAAGTAAGGGTGACAACTAGCAAAGATATTTAGCTATATGTTGTGCTTAACATTAAAGTAGTATTAGTTTATGAAAAATGTTAGTATGAGGAACAAACCTAAGTTATGACCTGTTTTACATCTTTTTTTACAGCTCTTTACTGCTAGTATTTAAAATACTTGTCCAATATTACAATTGCCAAAATTTAAATAAAAAACATCACAGTTATCATAAATTTGAACTTATATTAAAAAAAGTTAATACCTCATGCCTTGATTGTTCACTTATTTCATGAGTATTTTCTGGAAAACCTAGATTAAAAAAAAATGTTTAAAGTAAAATGTTATAAGTAAGGTTAATTAGTTTATTTATTTTCGTTATTTATTATTCTTTTAAAAATAGTTAACTATTTTCTAGATTTCAAAATAAAAACAAAAGATTGATAGCAATTTTAAAGTTTTTTTTATTGAAAATGATACATTCATCTCAACACAGTACACAATGAATTAAAATGATCAATGACCTTGCATGAATTAGTCTTTACAATTTAACAAAATATTATATTAAATTTTTATATAATATTACTGATTATAATATAAACAAAAAAAGTCATTACAAAGTTTCTACTTAGAACTTACATTAATTACATAGAGCAAGATTTACACAGGAGAACTTAGGTGGGTTAAGTCAATTGTGTAGAGAAAGACTTGATAATAAGTCAGAATTAATATAAATTAGATAAAAAATCAAATTTAATATAAAAAAAAAAATTAATACAAATATTAACATACAAAGATGATTAATCAAGAGAACCAGTTACATATATACAAAGATGATTAACCAAAAGAAACAGTTACAGCCAAAGTTGGAATAACTGTAATAAACTTAATACCATCAAATTTTTAAAATATTTTTTGTGACCTATATGAATATAAGTTCTCCTAAAATGTGACTAGTCACTCAAAAATTGTTCTCAGTAAAATCAAAACTATTAGAAGTTCAATTAACAGTAAAACTAGAAAATGTACTTTAAATATAGCACCTGTTCAGTTCAGCCATTAAGATTCTCTTAATAAATTAGTTTTAAAAATGAATTGTAAAACTTACAAGAAAAATCTAGCAAAATCATAATCAGAAAATCTGTTAACACTTGTAAAAGTTTAATGCTATCAATTATAAGGTGTTGCTATCATACAAATAGGTAGAGAACCATGAGATTTAAACTTTCCCTGAAAAAAGTAAAAGAAATACCTGAAGAGGCTGTAGATGAAATTTTTGGCTTTTATAGTAAAGATGAAATAAACAGGCAAATGCCTTTTTATTTAATCCTTAGAAAGTTTTACTCACAAAAAAAGGTTTTGTGAGTAAAACTTTTTTTGCATATGAAACACAGGTCTTTTTAAAACTCTAAAATCTAAAAGAACTAAGATTAAATGCAATTATCCAAATATAAAGACTTGCTTTTCTAACTTTTACTCACATCATTTGAAATGGTGCATTTAAATAGAGGCATATATATATATATATATATATATATATATATATATATATATATATATATATATATATATATATATATATACACACACACACATTTATAATAGACGCAGTAATAGACGCACGCAGGTGACATCATAAAAAACAGGAAGTTGTGGGGCATGGTTAGCCGTAACTAAATTTAGTTTTTTTGAATTGTGTCCCAGTCAAGGTCGATGGTTTCTGAAAGAATATAGTTTACTTATCACTATGTATATAGTCCACTAAATCAAAAAAACTCCTATTAAGTAATTATACCATTTTTAAGATTTTTTAATGCCTTTTTTTAGCGCCATATCGCAAGTGTTTTGCTCTACCCTTCTTTTGCTCCACCATGTTTTCATTCAAAATTTTGTTGTCAATTTCAGTTAAAAGTTACAGACAACTTATTGGAAATGAATAATACAGAAGGCATTTTGTTTTAATACATTGTTAAAGAATGAATAACTACATGTTTTAAATCATCAAATGAACATATATTTACAAAAATAAAATTAAAAATAATTTATTATTTGAATTACCAAAAAAATACCTACATATACTTAGATCAACATTATTAAGAGAAACAAGATGTTTTCCATAATAAAAACTCAATGCCATGACTAAATTATTTCCATATTTCCAATTATTAGCATACACCTTGTAGCGGTGAGGAAGAGGCAGTGTTGAAGTGGTAGTGAACAATTTCTCCTGATTGGTCTGAATAAACTCCATTTTTTTGTTTTACAGAAATTCAGATACATGATTGAACAGGATATGAAATTTTGGTGTTAAAGTTATACCATGTTCCAACATCAACTTTTTATAGGATGCCTTTAAATTTTTGATATTAGTTTGAAAGCTTTCATGAAGTCCCGATACAAAGCAAAACTCAATTAAATTTAACAGCCTTAAGCATTCTCTAAAAGACTTTAGTTTAATTGGCAGCTTATCATTAAACACTACCCACTTTTTCATAATTTTTCGAGAAGAATTTTCATTAAATTTTCAACAACGCTGACCAGTCTTAATAATTTGCAACTCATAAATCTCATTCATACTCATTTCCGACCAAATCTACTCTATGATATCATTTACATGATTGACTGTTCCCTGCATTATATGAAGCTTCAGTAAAACCAATCTGTCTACAAGATATTCAGAGGGGTTTCCATTCACTAACTAACAAAAGATTTATACAGTTCTTTAAACTTTTCATAGTTTTCTTGACAACTCTTGAAAGTTCTGTATAGAGCATTTGCCCATGTTTCTCTTCTATCCCACTCACATACATAACAGGGATGAATTGAACTGCTACTTGGACATATTCCTGTGAGATTTTGACTAAGTTTTATGTCGTTAACCCCAATGTGCTCAACTTTTTCAATATTTAAATTTTTAAAAAGTATTTTAAAATATCTTTCTAAGATTTTCGGGAACTACGAGAAGGCATTTACTAACGAATCTTTGAATTTTTTTATTAGACCATCTTTATATGAAGATATGCAAACTGTTGCGGATTTTGTTTTAAGATAATCTACATCAACTTTTCTGTAATTTTAAAAAAGGGTTACATCATTGCATTACACAACTGTAATATTCTTATATTCCAAAGTTTTATCTTTGTTTTTAAATTCAAATAAAATATTTTCTTTGGTAAATAGTAGAGGAAAATAACTATCCAAATCAGGGACACAGGCTTTTAGTCCAGATTCTACAACATTTTGTTTTTTTTTTAACAACTCTGTAATTATTAATTTTTTTAAATAATAAATTTTGTTACAAAAATTGCATCATTTCATTCTGCAGAATTAAATTTGTATTAGTATTGTGATTTTAGCTTATCATATTAGCAAGTTTTATCATTTAATGATTACTTAAGAAATAAGAATTCTGAATACAAAGAAGATTTTTGTGAGTAAATTTGATTGTTCTTGTAATATTCCAGGATCCAATAGATAATTTAAGTTTACTATCTCCTGTCTTCAACGAAATGGTGTCACCACTTTCACAACATAATTTTTCTTTAATAATGTGAGAAGCCATTTTCCTTGACATCTAAATAAGTTACAAAACTATGGGGAATGATATAAAAATGTTTTCAACAACTTTAAATTGTTGAAAATGTTAAAGCTTCAAAAGGTTTATTAAATATTTATATTAAAATAATTTTTTTAAATTAAAATCAACATTTTAAGATTTATTAGGAAGGGAAGCTTTTTACATTTTTTTCTCTCATCTCTCTATCAGTGACGCAAAATAAAAATTCTTTTTTAATACCTTGATACTGTGATGCAGCTGATATAAAAATAAATTTACATAAAACTTGCTTTCTATAGAACATGTTATACAACTTTTCACAACCAAATATTAAAAGTTATAAATACATTTTCTACCTGAGCGTTGTTTGATTGCATTTATGATGCAATCCACTTTTAATTTTACTCAGGCAAGAACTACATCGCAGACTAATAACTGCAGTTTTATAACTCTTAATACCAGATTTTTTCTTGGGTATACTTCCCTTTACTTGCTAATTTCACATTTGCAAGTTTTTAGTTTCTTGAGATTATAAAAATGTTTATGATTTTATATTTCTTTACAACAGAAAAAGTTAAACAAGTTTTTTAAGCCTTACACATTTAAAAGTTGGGCCAAAGTCACCCTATTTTACAGTAGCTTATGCAAAAGCAACTCTAGCGTGAAATTTTCAATGAAATTATTAGATATTAGATGTATTGTTATCAAATTTTCAGTTATGCAAATAGTTTTACGTTTATGATGTATACTTTTTATATATATTCATTTAGGTAAGAACCATTAAGTATACCAACCTTGGATACCATCCAGTAGGATATCAGCTATCAGCAATATTATAATCCATAAAACAGCTTTGAAATTTATAAACTATGTGGTTTTGCCTGTTCATTTTCATCTGACATTTGTGACCACAGAAAATGCATACTTTTTCTCTGTTCTTTTGAAACCAAATTTTGTTCTATGATTGTCTTTTGTGATTAAATCTGTGGCAGAAAAAATGGTGGATTAAAGATGGTTGTAAAAGTTCAAAAATCTTAAAAGTGCCATAATTACTTATTATTTGGTGGACTATATACATAGTGATAAGTAAACTTTACTTTTTCAAAAACCATCAACCTTGTCTTGGACAAGGTTCAAAAAACCTAGAGTGGTGCTATACCAACTCAGGGTTTGGGATGGGGCAGCAATGTTTTATTTCATTATTCTTTGTTTTTTTTCTTTATTTTCTGAAAAATTAAAGCGCACTTTTTTATGTTTAGAGCAGAAAAATGATATTAGGAAATCACAACTTAACCTATGGATTGAGTATAGTATAGTATATATATATTAATATTTATATATATTTATTTATATATATTTATATATATTTATATATATATATATATATTTTTTTTACATCTTCACTTCCAACAAGGCTGCAAGCAACCACTATAAGAGTTGGAAGTTACTGGAAGAGAAAAGACTAAATCTGTAGAGCAAGATGACGATTGACTGATGACTTAAAAGATTGCAAATTATATGAATCAGGAAAGCAAGATGAAGGAAGCGAATTCCAAAGAACTGATGTTCGAGGAAAAAAACTAGAAGAATAAGAGTTTTTGAAGCACTTAGGAACAGTCACAGAAAAAGGATGAGACTTAATTGAATGGCGAGTAACACGAGAATGAATTTTAGTAGATGGCACAAGGGACGCTAGCTCTTTAGAGCAGTGCCCATTATAGTATTTGTAGAAAAGAGAAAGAGAAGCAACATTACG